TAACTATGCTATTAAAACAATTTACTAATTATTTTTAAAGAAATATTTTTATGAGATACAAAAGAAAATAATAATGTTGATGTTAAAATACATAACTTGAAACAATTGTTTATAATTATGTAATTTATATTTATTGTGAATTATTATTAGTTGGTATTAGCAATAACTATTATATAATATAATAGAAACATACATGATTACACTCATTAAGATGTATTAATGTGAGAAGTAAAAAATATTAATGACAAATTTTGTAACCAAAAATGGGGGGTAACCGAAAATGGAGGGATAATTTTAGAGGTTTTATTAAATGTTTTATTAAATGCTACATGCCAGCAATTATATATATATATAGATTCGAACTGTTAAATGAGACAAGCTGCTTGTAAGTTTGGCTCGACTCATTTGGTAAATGTAATCAATCCAAGCTCATTTAATTAACGAACAAACGTTTTGACTCTTTCATACTCATTAGGCATGATAAATAGATTTTTTTCACGTAATTATACACTTTTATCATATATCGACTCGTTAAAACTCATTGACAGGATGAGCTCGAACTCATTTACTAACTAACGTATGAACTCAATTTGTCTCGATAAATACTCAAGAGTTCGAGCCTAACCCGACTCGTTTGACATCTCGAATATTTATGATGCGGCTGGTCATTACGGGATGGTCTGATCACAACCGTTGGAGATCGAAATTTTGACGGTGGAGATGCTTTTGTCCGCGATTGGCTGGGATAATGGGGAATATGACGCGTGGGGTATGGGAGGTGGGTCCCACGCGACGCAATCGTCGGCACAACACTATGGGGACGCACTATGTGATGATGAGTGGCTCTAATTTGTTTATTTTTATTAAAATAAGAGAAACAAAGCTAGAAACCTATGCTATGACCAACATCAAAATTCAATTTATTTCTTAATAAAATTCTAAAGATATCATGAATAATACTAAATTGGTGTGTAGTTATGGGTAGTGCAGTAAACGAAACGAATCGAACCGAACCGAATCGATCTTGAGCTGTTCGAGTTTGTGTTCGTTTATGTTCAAACAGTGTTCGTGTTCGTTCATTTATTCCTCGAGCTAAAAATCATGTCCGAGTTCGTTCGTTTAATTGTTGTCAAAGTTCGACTTTATTCTTGTTCGAATAATTTAATACATAAATGAATATGATATTCTAAATAAATTCACAATGACACCAAAAAAAAAAAAAAAAGATAAATGAATATGCAGCCGAAAGTGGTTCATTGATATTGTAAATCTAGAATCTGAAATAAAATAAGTTGGAATGTTTGGCCATGTTTAATTTTGCTGAATATTACCAATTTAATGTTATAAAAAAAAATAATGCTAGCTCTATCTTGGTCAAGTTAAGTGTTTATCTACTCACCAACAAATAAATCATGAAGTAGTTGTATACATTAACTTCGTGTCATGTTATTTATATATATATATTTACTCCCATACCATGGCTTAAAAAAGAAATATATTTATTATAAACAGAACAACTTTTAGTTTCAATAAAAATATTATATAAATTGTTATAAGAATGAAATATATATTCCCATACCATGGCTTCAATTCATTTAATTATTTTCTATCACATTTAACTGTTTTCGCCCTTTGTAAGAATATTGATTTTAGCCTCGTCCGACGAACCTAATTGTTTTCCAGAAGATTTATTGGTAAACAAATAAAATAAATTTAACTCGAGTAAGTCTTGCAACACAATTTAGTAATACAGAATTTCTGTGTTCTAACACAATCTGCGTACTCTATACTTCCCGACCTTAGTTTCTCCTTAAATTGTGTTAGATGTGAGGAAATGCAATGCATTAATTGGTAAATGAAAATGACCTGCAAAACGTGGCTTAGAGTTAGAAAAACTATAGACGGGTCCGACCCAAGTATATATATTTATTTCTTTTATTTTTAAGTAAGGAGTGTATATGCATTGAATATTTCCTTTTTTTTTTTTTTTTTTTT